CTGTGGCTGGCTCATCCTCTCCTCCTTCAAAATCAATTCTGAGAATTCGTGTTCTTATTGACTCATCATTCTCAGACATCATACTAAGTTCTCCCTCTAAATATCCCCTGATATCTTGCCTCTTCAGTCATCTTTCTTTTATTTTCATTATTCTCTTCAGCTACTTCCTCCTAGTATATAAAGTAGTAAAAACTCCATTATCCCTAAAACACAACAAGAGCAAAAACTAGTTTTGCTCCATCCGATATTTTTCTTAAGCCACCATTCCTCCAAGTTTTTCTTCTCTCCCTTATAAGCCTCTCAAGGGTATAATTTACTTTTCTGTCTTTCTGTGATTTTGAGGATGTGACTTAGACATGGAACTCAATTGGATACATAGATTAAGATGTCCTCAATAGTGACACCGTATCTTAATTAATCAGAACAAAAAGGTCATCCAGAAAACAAATATGGTTTGACAAGAAAAGAGGGCCGAGGATTAGAGGTTAAGAAACGCCTACCTATAAGAGGCAGACAAAGAAAGCAGGGTCAGCATAGCAGCCCAGGTGGAACTTTCGGACATCGCCCTGTAAATACACTTGTGTTTTTGACATCTTCCTGAGGACAAAACAAAAGAAAGGAAATAAAAATAAAATAGAAAGTAGTTGATGAAGAGGGGCCGAATGATGAAAGAACAAAGTGGATATAGCCAGTACCAACAATGGTAGTAGAAGTGAGAAGTGAAGCCGGCAGGGGTTCTGGGTCAAGTGGGGACTTGGAGAACTTTTCTGTCTAGCTAAGGGCTTGTAAACGCACCAATCAGCACTCTGTGTCTAGCTAATTGGGTGGGGACTTGGAAAACTATTCTGTCTGGCTAAAGGATTGTGAATGCACTAATCAGCAACCGGTGTCTAGCTAAATGTTTGCAAATGCACTAATCAACACTGTGTAAAAATGGACCAATCTGCTCTCTGTAAAATGGACCAATCAGCAGGATGTGGGCGGGGCCAAATAAGGGAATAAAAGCTGGCCACCCCAGCCAGCCGCAGCAACCCGCTGCAGTCCCCTTGTATGCTGTGGAAGCTTTGTTCTTTTGCTCTTTGCAATAAATCTTGCTGCTGCTCACTCTTTGGGTCCACACTGCCTTTATGAGCTGTAACACCCACGGCAAAGGTCTGCAGATTCACTCCTGAAGCCAGCGAGACCAGGAACCCACCAGAAGGAATAAACTCCGGACACATCTGAACATCTGAAGGAACAAACTCCTGAAACACCATAACTTGGTTATGTCTATTTTTAAAAAGGATGAAGTTGGTATATGGGATAATTACTCAGGATTTCAGAATCTTCACATTGACTGTCTATGTATTATATTCCACCTTGTTCTAGAAAGAATTTCAGAAGGCTTATTAAGCGACTTGTACAGCACAATAAAATATCATAAAGTAGCCTAGATTAAATGTGGACAAAGAAATAAAAACTGTAAAAGAGTGGATCTGAGATAGAAACATAAATAAGGCTAATTCTTCAAACTATAATGAGCAACACATTTAACATGGGTGTGAGCCAGAAATTTTAGTCTAAACTTTCTGGCAGTAATGTCAAAAGTGGACAACCTGGCAATTAAACCAGAGCATCATGCAATAAAACCAGATGGGTTACTAAACTTTTAAGTAATCTTGGATTACTTGAGAGGGTAACCTCTTATTTGTATGTGTTTCACGTGAAAATTATTTTTGTCTGCAACAAGATTATCTCTCTCTTTCTTGACACCCTCCACCCCCACCCCATTATACACAGATGCACACACAGAAAAAAGTACCAAAGCTGATAGTAATTGAAGAATAGGTAATATCTGCATTTTCCCATATCAGCTAGTTTTGGTGGATAATTTAACATTCCTTCCTTTGCCAAAAATAATTCTAGACAATATTCCCTTGATATACAAATATACGATTGATTATTTTGCACTTTTTTGTGATAGGCTTGATAAAATTACAATTTATAGATAGGGTGATTAGGAGAAGAGAAGTGAGAGAGAAGAAAAAATGAAATTTTCTTTTAGATTTTTACTATGATATGAAAACCTATGAGCCAGTGTTTGACCTTGATTGTAAGAGAGCTACACCATGATGCTTAACTGAATCTGTTGCCAAAAGTTACCTAAATTTGTCATACAGATAATATTGTGTGTCTAAGGAAATATTATAAAACTCATGCAAGTCAAATGTGTAGGAGATCAAGTACTAACTGAAATAACATATAGACATAAGAAGACAGTGTCATTTGCAGTAAAGTATAATGAGCTGCTAAATTAGGTACTGTGGTCTTAAAAGAGCAAAGTATTTTTGGACAAACCCAAGCCAAAGTAAGTTCTCCAAATGAGAAAGGCTCATTAAAGTAAGATGTTTGGGCTCCACATTTCTGCAATAATGATAATCAGGTACTCCATAACAAGGCGTTGGTGGATTGCTGCTTTTATAGGCAAAGCCACTACAAAGTCTTGGCAAGTTTCGTTTTTGTTACATCCCAGCCATCAATCCCAACGGACTCTATACAGCTTCTAAAATAGAACATTTCATTTAGCGAGGGAGAATTTTATGGGGCTTATTAAATAATACCCTTGTGAGCAAAAAGAGATAGAGAAATGACCTTAATTACAGTTTGAAATTGAATGGAGAAACACACACACATATTGGACAACACAAAAACACATTCGTTATATGACAATTGGAAGAAAGCTTGAGTCCAGGAAAAGAATAAGTCCTAGTAGAAAGGTCATGAGCTTTGGAATTATATAAATCTGGATTTGTGTTAAGTGTATGATCTTGGGAAAGTAGAACAACTTTCTCGGTCTCAATTTTCTCACCTGTAAAATAGGAATAGTGATACCTATTTTTCAGAGTGGATAGAAAAAATAAGGAGATACATTGATTAACATACCTTGCACATAGCCAAGGCATACAGAAGAGTCAACACATGATGACCACTTTTTAAGGTTTTTTGACATTCTGCATAAAGGTATAGCCCTTAGTTTTAGAAATACAGGGTCTAATAGGAAGATGTGCAACACACAGTGATACATTTTTGACTGAAGCTCTAGAGTCTGAGATGAAAATAAAGGGTGAATGAATTTAAACAGTTGTAACAATAGCAATAATAGATACTATTCATTGAGTACTTTTTATACCCAGTCACAATGCTAAAAGCTTTAATACACTATTTAATTTTATTCTGTGAATATCTTGTTTTACATGGAGAATCTCAGAAAAACTAAAAAATTAGATAAGTAGAAAGTGAATTCCATTCCTCAGAGGGAAATTATATAAGGTCACTTAAGAAGCTTTCAACTTCAAGTAACAGAAAGCTAAACTCAAATTCTGTAGTTTATTGATTCACATAATTAAAATGTCCAAAACTAGGGTAGCTCTAGTTGATATTTGGCCCTGAAATTTATTATTTTAAGAACCAATTATCATTTAGTTCCTGCTCTGTCTTCCAAAGATTTGCTGATTGAACAATTTAAATTGTGTGCTTATCCATTATCAATTACTTGGGCTTAAGGAATATGATGTGCGAACTCCTTTAAAGCTGACTTAATGTATGCCCTTGTGAACCAGTCACTATAGCCAGAAAGGAGGATGAAATTATGCTTATCAGTGAAGGCCTACAAGGGCCTCTTCTTGCTCGGGAGATACGGATATCAATCCTATTCGAACTTTAGGATTGTGAAAAGTGGAGTTCTTTTGGGAAGGGAAAGGAAGAGTAGAAGTATTCACTCAACAGAGTAACCGTGAAAGAGGATTAAAAGTGAAATTCTGGGAAAGCACCATGCTTAGAAAACAGACTAAAAAGTGACTTTGCAAGAGAATGAGAGTGTTTGAACATGTAAGAGGAAAACAAGAATATTACTCTCATTTGATCATAAAGCCTCACTTAACATTTTGCAATAATCTTCTCTTTCTCTTGAAATATTCTAAAATTCCTTTTTGCTTTTTAAAGAGAAGATATGGAGAGTCCAATCTCAGGCATATTGTATGGTGTTTGTTGTGGAGGGTCCTCTGACTTCCAACATTACAAGGTCTCTGTGATGCCTTTGGACTGGGCATAATCCCCACTGCCACTCCCAAGGTATTAGAAGACCAAAACATTCATCCCATAGCTGCACTTCTTAAGCACACAGCATCCTCTCAAATATTAAAGAGGAAGGACATGCTCAAACTATTTTCTACTAGATGAGATTACTCATTGAAACTAAACATACAGCATTGCTTTATGGAAACAACATAAATTGAAAGGGTCCTACAGATCTGAATTGGAATCTGACTTCTAATGCTAGTTGCATGACCTTAACCAAGCTACCTCATCCTTTTGAAGCTGAGTTTCCTGACAATAAAATGGGAAAATTAACGCTATCTTGAAAAGTGTTTATAACATCGAATAAAACAATGTGTACCTATTAGTTAGCATGATGCATCATAATTGTTCAATAAATGGCATCTATTATATGTTTTAAAGTTTCACATGTGTGTAATGTATAAATTCCTGTTATTATCTCACCTCCCTTCAAAAAGAAAAGGGAGTATAAATAATAGTGTTCACTCATATAAGAATTGAAGTCAAGTTTTCTAGGTATGAATTTCAAAGTCACTTTTTAATAATTGTGTGTTCTTGGACAACTTATTATCTCTGTACCCAGATTCCCAATCTGTAAGCTAAAAATAATAATAGTACTTTCTCGAAGTGTTGTTAGGAAAATTAAAATACATGATAGATGTGAAGTTCTTAGACCTGCCCCTGATGCTCACGAAGAAAGCAGTAAACATTAGCTTGAATTTCCATTATATAGGATGATGATGAGAGGACTTATAACTTTAATAGAGATATCTCAGGGATGCTTCACTCCCCAGGGCACTTTTTAATAACCTGACCTCATTTCATGAGAGTACTCTTCTCCTTTGTTATCTTTAGGCACACAATCTGGTCAAAGATATATGAACTCCTGGTGAACCCATACTCACCTTCGTGCCCAGCCTTTGATGTACAACGTGGTCAGAATAGCAGCAACCACTTCACAGGCCTGTTGTGAAAAATAAATGACATGACATTTTCTAACCATCCAGATCTAGATAAGATTACATGGGAGCTCCATCATATACTACCTAGAATTTCAAATCCTTCCTCAGGTGAAACTGAATTTTACACTCTCATGTTTAATTCTGGTCATGAGATTTTGCTTTTTCTGATTTTTTTCAGGATTATGAAGACTTCCCTTCCCACACGCTTCTGAATTCTATAATGGTTTTATCAGAAAATAGGGCCCGTCCTTGAATATCAGAAAAGAAGAAGGGAGAGAATGAAGGATGAGAGGTGATTGAAAGAGAGATTAAGTAAACACAAAACATTTAAGTGTGTAGTAAGGATCACTGAATATTTGGAAGAATAAAAGGTGTGTTACATGTCAATACTTTAAAGAAATCTCTAACTAAACATTAGATATTCCCACTTAAAATTCCCATATTAAGGGATTTTTTTCCATTCATTGTTTCACCCTTCGAAGTATACTGGCATTTACTCTTATAGTTTCACCTTCTCTGAAATGGCTTACTTATCAAAGGAGTTGGAACAACACTTAGCACAGTGAAGGCAAATAACAGTTGCTCAATAGATACAGCATTTAATATTAATGGAAATAGTAATAATCATTATTATGACCTTACCAAGGAAAAGGGCACTGGTCATGGGAGGAAGATATGGTTGCAAAGTGTCATGCTATTTATTTCTTAGATAGTAATTTGGGGCAAGTTACTTAACCTTCTTACTCTCATGTTCTGCGTCTGTAAAATGAAATATACAATTTTATCTACCTCAAAAGGTGGTTGTATGTATTGCATGAAAGAATATGCAATTTGCATAGCACTGTGCCTGGAATACACTTTACATTTAATGTTTATTAATTATGACTACTATTATTTGTATTTATGAAGTAAATGCTAATTCAGTCAACACATTTTGAAACCCCCAAACACAATTAGTTGTACCCATGGCTTTCTTTCCCAAGCTACTTCTGAATGCCTGGTACAATGGTTTGTAAAGAAATGTTATTTTCACTGATTAACCTATTGGGATATAGGAAAACATATTAGGGCATTGATCTCTCCATCTATACATAAGTATCCTAATTTTTATAATATTTAAATATAATACAAAATATATAATACATATATTTAATGTCTATATAGCATATATCTAGTATCATAATATATATTATATCATCCTCTAAATGTTTATATTTGAATATGCTTTATAATTTGCATATTAGTATATATAATATATACTAATATATATATAATATATATAATATATAATATATGTATTATATATATTAGTATAATATATATAAATACTATATATATTAGTATATATAGTAAATAATTTATAAGTCAACTATATATTAGAAGTATGATAAAAAATTTATATATATATTAGAAGTATGATAAAAAATTTTTACCATGGAGTATGAAATTTAAAAACATTTTTTGAAAACCAATTTATAACTTTCTTGGACACAATGATATATTTAATTTCCTACAAGATATCAATTTTCCAGGATCTAACCAAACTCTTAGGAACAACATCAGTTGATGTTGGTATAGGAGAGTCATAGCATAAGCCATTAATTAAGAAAAATAGGTATCTAAGTCTAACATAGACGGCTTGTATAATAATTATTATTACTATAACTAACATTTGTTAAGTACTTATCATGCATCAGACATTGGGCTAAGCAGTTTTCATGTATTATCTTATGTAAACCTCATAAATATTGGCTGTGGTTACTACCGTTGCTGTTTTACATACGAGGAAAGCCCCAAAGAGGCTAAGTAACTTGCCCAAAGCGGAGAAATCTGAGTTAGAAGTCACGTGGTCTGACTACTCCATACATATCAGCATAACAAGATGTGGTTTTGTTACTTTTCTGTTATATTTGACTGAATCCAATATTTAAAACCTGCTAATGGACCCAATCTCATTTGAACCTCACAGCAAATCTTTAAATTGTAATTAGCTATTTCTATGAATGGTCCATATCATAGAGGTTGATGAGCCAAAATCTGGCCCATTAGATCACTGTACTGCAGGTTCCTTATATAATACTTTTTCTTGTATATAGCCATTGCTCTTAGTTAAATCCTGAATTCTGGTGAGTTGAAATATCAGAAAATTGTATGTTCATCTAATGCTTACATTTTGATTCTCAAGTGTAAACATGAACATATTAGTCTTATCTTTTGTTTCTGATCAATTTTTCAATGTAATCTAAAATCTATGAGTTGTATAACTTCGAATTATTTGTGAAATGCAAATTCCCTTTTCTGTGTTAATAAACATTAAAGGTCTTTCATCAGGTTATAACCTGTTGGATAAAGAAGCAACTAATAACGAACTCCTTTTTGTAAAGTGTGATCAGGGGATGGATTTTCTTTACTTCTTTGATGACTAATATCCTCATTCATTCTTAAGCTTCAGCAAAAACACAAGCCTGTTCATAATAGTCACATGCACTGCAAAAAGAGGTCATCATCTTCTAAATAAATGTGTGATGGTGGATATAAACATACGTATATACATTCCCAAAATTTCACAGAAAATATTTGAAGTTACATGGAAGTAGAAAAGGGAAGAATGGTTTCTTGTGCTTTCTGCAGTTTCTGAGAGAGATCTAGAGAGACAGATTTGTAAATATTTTTTGAAAAGTCCCTAGTCCAACAATTCATGAGCCGCAGAAAGAAAGTAGAGACAAAGGCAATTGCCTGGTTCACTAAGTTCTTATAACTCCCTCACCCAAAATAACAACATGATGAAAATAACTTGTTTTTGGTCTAAATGATCAGGAAAATTGCATGAGTAGTTCACTTCACATTGCAGATTTTAAGATTATACTAAAGTTCATATATATGTATATAAATATATTTATATATGTATACATTTATATATATATATACACACATATATATATATTTCTTATACAGCATACATCTTGCCTATCTAGTACCTAGAGCAGAAGATGACAACCTTTTCTGTAAAGAAACAGACACTGAATATTTTGGGTTTTGTGGGCCAAAGAGTCTCTGTTGCCATTGTAGCAGGAAAGCAACTAGAAACAATAGTAACTAATTAGGCATGGCTGTGTTCTAATAAATCCTTATTTATACAAACAGCAAAATCCTCTGAGGATCACAGTTTGCTGTTTCCTAATATAGAGCTACAGCTTCCAAAAAACCTTCACCATCAATAAATCTAAACATAGAAGCTACATATACATGGAATATGCACATATGATACGTGTGTGTGTATAATAATATCTTTAATGATGGAAGTCCTATTCAAGCCTCATTTAATAAACTGAAATCCTTCTAAATTCTCATTTTTAAATTAATTCTATCATTTAAGTATCATACCAACTTCATGAGGCAGAAAGTGTACAGACATTATTATTTATTCACTTTCATTTTGTAGAAGATGAAGCCAAGACACTAGCTCATTAGTGAAACTCGAACCAGTTCTTCCAAACTCCAACCATGGGTTTTTTCTTTTACTGGGTGACTTTAAAATGTAGCTATTATAGCAAGTGTTGACTCTTCCTTAAATAAATTTATGCCTAGATTTTACAGTGCTATCTTGTAGACAAGTGTGGGTATCAGGTACATCTAAATCCGAAATCAGAGTAGCATATAGTTAAATTTTATATTAGTGCATACATCCTAAAATATGACATTCAAAGGTTTTGTTTGCAGCAGTATCAATCTGAATTTTATGACATCTGTATCTCAAAGATCAAACACTCTTGCTCCCATACCAAACGAGGACTAGGACTGTAATAGAATTAACTCAAAGCTTTCTCTACATTTTTTTAGTAATCAAGGGAGGTCAAAGGGAGGCACAGAACGGAATTAGGCAGAAACTATACAGAGCTGATTTACTCTGAAAACAAAAATGGAAGAACTTTTATTTGATTAAATGGTTGATGTATTTTTCTCCTGAGGAGAAAAAAAGCGAGAGAAGAATAAAGCAAAGAAAGGGGAGAGGATGACTAACCAAAATAGCAAAATATAAACAAACAAAATAAAATAAATAGGAAGAATGGGGATGGCTAGTGTTTAGTTTTAAACCGTTTGCTTTGCAGTGATGGAAACAGCCCCAATGTAAAGTCTGCTCCACATTAAAAGCCCAAGTGCAATTTCTTACATGTGTAAATCAAAAAAAGAAGGCAGTGTTTTTTGTTTTTTTGTTTTTTTTTTCAGATCAGGGGGCAGTGGTGTACTGTCTGAAATTCTTTGGCTGGGAAAGACAAATTCGCTCTTGGATTAAATGCCCATTTTTCTCAGAATGAATCACTAGGCTAAGGTGGAAGTGGCCCAAAATAATCAATTGACCATCAAGTGCCTTAGTGACCTACTTACATTGGAGGCCTCCCTGAGCTAGGTGGCATTGCAACCATTGTCTATTTTCATTCATTCATTCATTCTATTTCATCAGGTGCCATACTGATCTACTTATATCTGGAGGCCTCCCTGAGCGAGGTGGCATTACAACCATTGTCTATTTTCATTCATTCATTCTATTTCATCAAGTGCCTTACTGACCTACTTACATTGGAGGCCTCCCTGAGTGAGGCGGCATTGCTACCATTGTCTATTTTCATTAATTCATTCTATTTCATCAAGTGCCTTACTGACCTACTTACATTGGAGGCCTCCCTGAGTGAGGCAGCATTGCAACCATTGTCTATTTTCATCTTTCATTTACATACTAAGCTGATCTGTCCTTAAATCAAGTTTTGTCCTGCTTATGCTCAATCCAGAATGAAAAAATGTCCATTTTATAATGTATTCCTGCTGAAACTACTGCCTGGCTGTAAGACTTGGTGGGTCCAAACATGACCCAGCTTATAATGGGGAGTTCTAGACATATGGTCACTTGGTCTCAGTGGCCAAGCTTTCATCTCTACCAGAGTCCAGAATCCAAAAGTCTACCCATTGAATCTCTCACTAGGGCCTGGCATAAATTCCTCAATGC